TAACTAAGATGTATTTTAGTCTAAAAATTATGAAATTTCGAGCAGACTAAAGACATGCCCTACCTCGTTGAAATATTGGTTCAAAAGAAAGTAATGGTGGCAAGGCTGTTAAAATGGTTGAAAAGCCACTAGTGGGACATTCTGAGCTTCTGATTGGTTATTCATGTCATATATAGAAGTAAGTATATACAAGAGACCATTTTCAAAAATGGAAAAAGGTGAGTGGGGCTACTGTGTTTCATTCAGGACATGAGTGATATCTCAGGAAATATAAAATATAGGAGGTCCTTATTTTATAGTCTAGCTCATCAATATCTATAATTTGAGTTTCTAATTCATAAGAAACTATAGACCTTGTAGTTTGACTTCACAAACATCTAACTTGAACCAGTGCTGCATTCATCATACCACGATCATCGATGTTTATCTGTTTTTTTTATATTTGCTTTTAAATTAAGAAATTGAGTAATATATAATGTATAGTAATAAGATTTGAATTATAATCCACAGTTTGATAACAAAGTTATTGACATAAGTTCATGTAATAGTCGATCAATAAAATTTTTAATGCGAGTCAACAAACAAGATGACATGGTCTTTCACCTGTGACCCTTGAAAGGGTTAAAGTATCCTACCTTCACTCCTAGCAACAGCCTTGATAACTTGAGTGACTTAATATCTTCCACTATGCTAACAGTGTTTGTGCTAGAAGGACCGAAACACTTGGAAAAAATGGAATTCACTTATATTTTTGTACACAAAACATAGAAACTTATGAATTTTGTAATTTATTATTTACTGGTGGGCCTCCTGAGATAGTAAACAATTTTGACAATAGATGGCACAGATCAAATTCTGTAAAATAGTATAGAACATTTCCACTTGCAACACCAGAGGAAACAACATAGATGTTGTATTGTTGAATCAATGCAAAATGCAGACAAAATATTTTACTTTTATATAAAACTAGACCACCCGTGACCCATTTGGTCACTCACTATTCAGAGGTTATGAAGAATTCAAGCTAATTTCAATTGCACCTCAATGAAGGTTTGTTTTGAGATAATTTAATTAAATATTTCAATTCATTCGTGTTATTCATAATTCAAGAAAAGATATTTGACTATTGATCAGGAGTAAAAGGAAAGACCATTTCATTTTTCAAAAAAGTGAAGTCAGAGTTTTCAGGCATTGTGATAAATTAGTTCATTATATTGTGGTCTTTCCTCATAAACCTTCTACGAATAACAATTCTTCAAATTACCTACCATAACCAAGGCACAGTATTGAGAAATTCTTCAAGATCTTGTTTTTGTCATCTTACGCCTTTTAATGAAGATGGGAATATTGACAGGGAAATAGATTTGAACGAAGAAGTTTCATGAAGAGTGCGAACGGTAGTGTGATGTAAAATTACTCATGCTAGAAATTTTCATAAAAGTGACCTGAAAAATGGTGCTAACTCGGTAACCTGTGGCCTGATGAAGTTTTGTAAAGAGCGCGAACGGTAGTGTGATGTAAAATTAATCATGCTAGAAATTTTCATAAAAGTGACCCGAAAAATGGTGCTAACTCGGTAACCCGTGGCCTGATTTTAACAGAACTTGTTTTATTCTGTTTCTATTCTCATTTCATTTCAAATATGTGCTATTGTGCACCATTTTTTTTGATGTATTTAATTACAGAGAAGCAAACAAACAAACAAATAATCTCAGAGTTTTAGTAGTACATAGATTATACAATGGTGAACATGGGACCATATTACATGCTTTCTACTTCCTTAGTAGTTAACATATGAGGATTCTGGCCCACGGACTTACCTCACGTTTGAGTTCGGCCAGGGGGGGGACATTCCATAGGCCCAGTTAGTAGGCCCTAACTTAGTATTCCTAGGTAAATTTGCATTTGGGTAATTTTTACTATGATAACTTTAGAATGTTTTATAGAGCAGTTTTCTCCATTCTCAATGTTACAATTTGTGCATTTATGTATTCAAAGTGCATTTACATGATCAATGGCCATTATCATTTTTTTCTGTCACATAGTCAAACACCAAAATATGATAACCTGAATGTATTACCTTGAAGTTACAGTAATTGAAAGTCATTTGTCAAACATTTGTGTGTGTTATCTTCTGACTTTCAAGTTATCTAAAGATTGGCCAAGTAGTGGAACAATTAATTTATAACTATTTGAAGATAACTTATTGACAATTTTAATACTTGAGATTTTCCTACAAGGCAGATATATTCCAAATTGATGTATTCCATTATTGAAAAGGTTATTTTTAACTTTGAACTTCAGTTTATTTTGATTACAATCCAAATGTTATATTTGTAGAAGGCTTTTACTCTGGAAAATCAGGGTAAAATATTTTAAATGTTTTCTTTTCAAAATATCAAATTATAATGATTAAAGAAATTTTTCCTAGTGATGTCTTGGAGGAAAGTACCTGTGTGATTTCTTCCAGCACAATGAAATTGCATATAGTTACCTAAATGCTTTTATTCATAATGCTTGTAAGTGTTCCTTTGTTTTAGGTTGTACATGACTGCAGAAATGATAGTGGTGCATTTTATCATCAGTTTGGTGTAATAATGAAGAATGTTTTTGACATGCAGGTAAGATCAGGTTGTTTAAATGCATTGAAATATATCTTGTTGGAAAATTAGGGAGTTTATATATTTACCATAGCATAGGAAATTATAGTATATGTAGATATATTTATTAAAATCAAAAGAAAATTTACTGAGCTGTAATTTAGTTCACTTTTAAGCACATTATTGTGCAGCAACATTGATACTACAGTTTCATTTGTTTAATGCAACAGATCTCAAATGCTAACATATTGTTTTTTAGTTTAAATATATGTTACTTTGTTATGAATTTTATGTAGGATTAATTTAAAGCTCAAGGATAACAGTAGCTTTGTTGAGAAAGTTATAGAGTTTTAGAAAAAAGGATTAGGTTGAATAAATTTGATAGGTGATCTAAAAGCCAAGGTAATTATGAAAGAAAATGAAGTTTATAGAAATAAAGGGAAAATAAGATAGAAGAAAATAAATGTAAAAATCAAGTACATGACCAGAAATTTAGAGCTTTTAAAGAGCAAGATTTTTCAAACATTTGATTAGAAATTAACACAAATATATAGAAGGAGTCAAGAAGAATTTTTTTTGTTTTTCAGAATTCTTTTATGAACATTTATGTCAGACTCACAACTTGTTGTCACAATACAGAAATATGTGGGTAACAGAGATTTTACAGTTCAAAAAATGTGGTTTCTAATAAGATACCTAACCTATGTTCAGATCTAGCTTTCCACATTCAGTGCTACCTTGTATATGAAAACTTTTTCACTTGCTACTAGCCTTGAGGCTTCCACCTAATATCACTTGTTTACTCTCACTCATCATACTGTGACACATATTTTTGCCCTTTTTACTTTATTGTTTGACTATGGTTTATCTGGCTCCACTGCTAATGGTTATCTGGTGATCTTATCTACCACCTTTTGACATTCCTGTTACTCTGTTCTGACCCTCCTTTCTTCACCAACTCCATGTTTGACTCCCATGCCTGACTGAGACATTAATGTGATGTTGCACACTCTCATATATGCCCCATTTGAGCAATTGGCTACTTTCTCTTTATACCAACTTTCTCTTAAGACTTCCTTCCTTCTCTTTCTCATCTGTAGTTGCCATAATTCAGGTATCTTATGTTCTTGATGTTTCTTGAACTCTATTCCATTGCACTTATTTACTCCTCTACCTGGACTGGTCCTTTCTTCCTAAGACTTCAGCTCTTTGGGAGGGTAACCGTTTTTTCTCTCCTATTGACCTTCTATTCCTCATCTTTATGCTCATTCAGACCCGGATCAACTTGTATGTCCAGTTCGGGCTGTTTGGTGTTACTTGGCTTGAACTTCTCCTTTTCAGAGTCCCCACCATCATCTGTTTCTATCTAGGGTCCTCTCATCTTCTACCCTTTCCAGATGGTTTCATCAACTCCTCTGGTTGGTGTATTCTTCCCTGGATGTTGATGCTTGCAGGCTCTTTCATATTTTGTCCCATCATATGTGTCAGTGTTTCATGCTCTTCTCATTTTTACTGGTCCGTGGATGAGATCCTTCAGATGGTTGGCATGTAGACAACTTCCCACACGTTCGTCACTCATTATCTTAATCATCTTACTGTTCCCATCACCATTCTTCAATCGACCCACCATCTTTGAGAAGGTTATGTGTTTTTTTTCTCTCCCTTTCTCTTTAACAAGATCCCAGCAGGTGGCTGGCATTGCCTCCCAGGGTGTGCTTACTTCTCAAAATCTGCATTAGAAAGCATTCAACTCATCTGCTCTGGCTCTACCAGTGTTCACTGTCAAGATGGTGTGTACCTCAAGACCACAAGAACTATCCTCCTGATATACAAAATTACTCATTTGCCCAATCCAGACCATATTGTTTTATGGACTATCACTGAAAAAGCTGGTACCAAGAACGTGGTAGCCCACTTCTTTAGCTTGTACTTGCTGGCTTTTAAAAAATTGGGTTTTGAGATCACCCATTGCACTGTCCTAAGTAAAATACCTTTCAGACAAATGTCCAATGGGGATACAGACACTTCTTCAGATACGTCCATCACAAATTTTCCTTCTCTTTTTCAAGTAGAGCATGAAGGACCATTGCCACTTACCAGTTCCTAACTTCTGGGGTGGTGGGCTTTGGAGAGTTCTTCACCGATTGAGCTCAGCACAATACAGTGAGAAGTTGGGGTGGTGGGCCTTGGAGAGTTCTTCACTGATTGAGCTCAGCACAATACAGTGAGAAGTTGGACAGTGGTGACACTGTCAATGTAGTGCAGATCACCTTCTGAAACAGGTGGTGTGCCCTTCTTCTGCAACCTGAGTCTGTCCAGTTGAGTCGAGATGAGCACACCCTGTATGGTCTGATTGCGCCCTAACCACACTACACTTATTGGCTTGCCAACAGCTTGTATGCAAGTGCTCAGATGAGCAAGTTCTTATTCTGCCCATATTTACAACACTTGGGGCATATTTGTCTCTCTCTCTTCGTTACATTCCAGATGAAGGTTATACCCTGGTCGAGACAACATGCAGTCTCCCATGGGTGTGACCCTATGGAGCTCTTGCCATTAGGTGTCACACTGCATGGGCTTTCCCTTCGGACATTTCAGAATGGACCTTATCTAGGTTTACATTTTCAACAGCCCTTCCACCAATTCTATGTAGGATTTTAACTATTGTGTGTATGGAGGTGAAATATCATCTCAGAAATTAATATTTTCCTAATCTAAAATGTATTTTTGCTAGATACTCACCTCTTAACACATTTCCATATGAGTTCCCTGCTTCTGGTGAACTTTCTTCACTCCTCTTCTAAGAAGGAAGTTATTGTCAGTGTAAGTGCTTAAGAGAAGCTACTGTGCATGGAGGTTATGTTGCCTTCTGGTTGGTGGAGGGATATATCTATTAGAAATACATTTTCAAATTAGGAAAATGTTAACTTTACCCAATTCTGAGAAGCTAGTTGTTCATAAGTAAAGGAAAAAGAAGTACAACAGACTTGAGATTTCAGAAATTGTGCATAGATGTGAAATAGTGGAAGTAGATTAAAGTAGGCAGAGAACTTGCCGTGGAGGGACAAATCAGAAGAAGATGTACAGAAAAGTATAGATCACTCACCAATGAATAGGAACTCAAAAAACAGATTGAAACCTTGGAAGAAACTAGGAAAAGACCCTTGGTATAAAGTGAGAAAATTAATTTTTTGGAATGTGGTGGGACTTTATAACAAAACTGATAATTTTTGGGACTATATTTATAATTTTGACATTATTGTTTTAGTTGAAACATGGGTTGAGAAGAAATGGGAATCAACATGAGCGAAACAGCTTAATGATGGATATGAATGGTATTTCAATTTCTGTTAAAGAAAAACTCAAGGGAGATGAAAAGGTGGACAACTGGTTGGAATTGCCAAGAAATTGTCTCCATTAATATCCTGTAAGCCATGGAAGTTAGGACTTAATATAAGAAATGCCCATAAGCACAATAAATGAAGAATAATTAGTGTATATAACAATCTTGGGATGGAAGAAACTTTAGACCAACTTTCTAAAGGCTTGGATAACAGTTATTTGGAGGATGAGCATATTATTTTAACTGGAGACTTCAATGCAAGAACTGGTAATGAACAACAAACGGAGTTGGAGATCGAAGAATTAGAAGAGGGATGGACCATAGCGAGGAATTCTGTTGATGAGAAAATCTGATGGATTGGTGCAACAATGAAGGATGTGTAATTTTAAATGAATGATTTAAAGGTGACCTTGAAGTGAAGCTAACCCATGTTGGAAATGGAAGAGACTCAGTCATTGACTATGTTTTTATGAAGAATAATAACAAAATTATATAATGGGAATGTATATTACTGAAAGGATTGAATCTGACCATTGAAAGATGAAACATAACATGAGGAGGAAGAAATTATTATGACCCAGTGGTACTATAAATGGACCTCAACTAAAAGATGAGAGTTTGTAGGCTGACCTGGAATGTGACTGGTGGAAAATGAAAAATGAGAGAGACAAGGTAAGGAGAATACAGGTCCTCAGTGAAATTTTTAAGAAGAATGCCAAGGAAATGAGGATCAAATTTATGACAGGAACTAAAAGGAAGCAATATGAGATAATGAATACAAGCAGAGGAAGAGACTGGTAAGAATATTACTGAAACAATTTAGGAAAACAAGAAAAGGAGTTAACAGGACCCACTATATTATGGCGAAAAGAAATCTCAGTAAGATATATTGGGAAGTGCAAAATTAGAAGAAAGAAAAGATTGGGAAGAAAATCAACAAGAGTAAGGACAGTGAACTTTTCTGGCAACATGTTAATAAACTCGGAAAACAACCTAAGAAGCAAGATGTTACAATAACTGCACATCAATAAAGAGAACACTTTGTGCAATTATTGGAAGGAGAAGAGATGAGTAGCAATAACTGGTGTGAGAAATCCAACACTAAGTGTTACCATTTGAAAATAATGAAAATAATAATAAGAATTTGTATGAAAAGATATGAAAAATGAGGATTAAAAGAAGAATGTACAAGATGATTAAGAGTATTTATAATGAAACAAGGAACATCATAATTTCACCAAAAGGATGATCAGATAAGTTTTGGACTTCGAAAGGGAAGACAAGGAAGCCTGTTAAGTCCAGTGTTATATAGTATTTCTATCAAAGATTGGGAAGATGAATGGATCACAAGACATGTTAGGGGAACTGTTATTGGAAATAAAAAAATAATTGATCTTAAATTCACAGACAACATTGTTGCACTAGCCGACCATAGAAACGATATGAGAGAAGTGGTTAAACTTGTGAAAAATATGTGGAAAGAAAAGATTTGGTTATTAATTTGGAAAAATTGAAGACTATAGTTTTCCATAAAGGAGGGAAGCTTAATAAAGAAAATAAGTGGACATACAAGGGTCAATTTATTGAGGTGGCTAACAAGTACAAGTACTTGGAAATTTGGTTTTCTACAAAAAATATTCATGAGGAACACATTAAGAAACAAAGTTTAAAGGCTTAA